TTGAAGAGGATGAAGGATCCACGAATTCTCCTGGAAGTCGAAGTGTCGTTCCATAAACGAGTTGAGTCGCAGTGTATCCAATGTTAGCTTTCACTGCATTGCGGATACCAAGTAAGACGAGTGGAAGAGCGTCAGTGCACTGAGAAATGTTTGCGGCTGATAGTGAAGCTTTTATTTGTCGGTCAAAGCGTTCTATTAACCCGTTTGCTTGTGGGTAATAGGCGGTCGTTAGGAAGCGAGTGATTCCTAAAATTGTGATCAGACGACGGAAAATTTCTGATTCAAACTGACCTTTGCGATCTGTAGTGATGGTTGAAGGGCAGCCGAAGTTTGCTACCCGTCGTTCGACGAAGGCGCGGGCCACTGTTTCAGCAGTAATGTCCTTGGTAGGTACTGCTTCTGGTCATTGAGTGAAATGGTGGATGGTCGAAGTCACACTTCGTGGTCAGCACCTTACGTGGATTACCCCATTGACGGATCAAGGTACCATAGATGCTTTGAAGACTGTACAGCACAGAGGACGTTATTACAGAAATATATTAGTTAAAGTAGATACAAGCGAGAGTAAGACCACTGCCGCATGGGCCAGTCCATGGTATACGATTAACTGATGCGCCTTGGTTGTACTTGACCTTGGCAGGGAGCGATGATCTGTTCGACATTCAGTGATCCAACTGCCGGATGATTTGGCTAGGGCTCAGTGACATTTCACTCGCCCTACAATATTTAAAGTACTTAGTTACTTGCTTTCATTGTCTGAGCATTATATTACCTGATATTCCACATTGAGTGACGAAAGTTGTGAAAGACATTAGAAGATCACCTCTTAGATGCCTATAATCTGATAGCAATGATTCAGGGGTTTGAGGCGTCCTTTATGCTGCTTGAATTCGGGTCTGCAAACTGATATTTTGCTTCACTGTTAGGTTTGTTCCAATGTAATCTTATTATTTGGGGGTGAGGGAGAAAACGCTGTGTTTCTGTACTCTTAATGAGACAGAAGAAAGCTCTTAAACATTAGATGGAATGTTCCACTGACGAAACTGTCAAACTTGTATTCTGGCGTCATCAATGCTTGGTTTGCTTGAAACGTAAGACCTTATATCTTAGGGTACAAACACTTAGAGATTTATCGACTTAGGAGGTATATGTAGGGAAGTTACCTAAGTAGTCTTCCCACAATCGGAATACATCTTATGCTCCAGATATCAACATAAAGTGCATCAGCAAAAACTATCTTAGTACCATAAACCTCGACATTAGAAGTATACATACCGCCATTAAAACCCTCAAGCCAAATGCTAGTTCTGATGCCGATGACATCCCTACGATTCTTCATAAAATGTCAGGACCGGACATACAGACGCTACTACTCAAAATATACACATTATCTTTAGAGACAGGTACATATCCGGAAACCTGGAAGTTGACGTGTGTTCTTCCCAAACACAAATCTGGACCGAGAAACCTGGTGGGGAACTACGGACCCATAAATATCACCCCAGTCATATCACGCATAATGCAAAAAGTGATACAAAATCAACTATCTTATCACCTGCTTAAGGAAGGTCTAATAGACCCGTCACAACACGGCTTCATTAGAACAAGTTCGTTCATTGCATGTCTGATAGACTTCTTTAACGAGGTCACTCGTATACGCGACCAGAAGAAACTAGTTATTATACTATACTTTGATATTAAGAAAGCCTTTAATAAAACACGTCATAATCTTCTAATAAACAGACTTAAGTCAGTTAGAATTATAAATCCCCTTTTGCAATGGATCAGGTCTTTTCTTACAGACAGATATCAAATAACCTAGATTAACTCTACAACGTCTACACCTCGACCAGTAACCAGTGGTGTTGTGTAGGGTAGTGTCTTGTGTCCATTGCTCTTTATAATCTACATCAACAATATGTGCAAGTGCTTTAGCACAGGTAAGACCTCTCGGTCAACCTGGGCAACCGACGACGGTATCTGTGGACGTTCACTATTGCTGATGTTCCCACAGCCATAATAGGTATCAATTTCCTACAGCACTATGAATTGCTTGTTGATTCACGTAGGCTGCAGCCAATCGATAATACGTCAAACAGTAAATTCATGGGCTGCAAAGCCCACATGAACGCGTACCGAATCCTCGGCACTTTTCACTCGCATGACGGTAAATTACACCCCTTATTCGAGAAATTCCCCACACTAACTAAACCACTCAAGGAGCTTCCACCGGTGACCAATCGTTTGATACACCACATGGTCATCCGTGGACCGCCAGTCACGGCACGACCTCGCTGACTGGCACCGAACAAATTAGCTCTCGCTAGTCCGAAACCGTTATTCTCGTATATAAAAAGGCGAATTAAGAGAAGCTATGGAATTCCATCACTTTTGATACGAGACAATCCGTTAATCTTAGCAGAGAAAGATGCCGAAAAAGCTGAAGCTTTATCGGAATATTTTAGCAAAGTGTTTTCTATCAGTAATGAGGAATGACCAACGATTCACTGTGATCGTGGCGGATAGCTGATGGATCCTGTATTCATTGAGAAAGGTACTGTTTTAAGGCTACTTCAGCACCTCAAACCTGATAAGTCCAGTGGTCTTGATGATATTCATCCTAGGATTATGGAATTACTGAACCATTAACGATACTATTTGACATGTCTCTAAGACAGTACAGACTTCCTAGAGACTGGAAAGACGCCATAATAAGTCCGGTGTATAAGGCTGGGAGTAGGGATTTAGTTAGTAACTACAGACCCGTTAGCTTACCTAGTGCAGTTGTAAAACTGATGGAGAAAATCATTCGGATATCCGTTCTAAACTATGTTGAAGGGCATAATCTTTTCTCCAGGGCACAACATGGTTGTCGGAAAGCCCTGTCTTGCTTGACAAATCTTCTCATTGCACGAGAAGATTGGGCTGCTGCAAAAGATCGGAATGTGATTTTCATAGATCTAAGTAAGGCCTTCGATAAGGTTTCCCACTCTGGTCTTTAATTCAAACTGGAACGTTTGGGAATCCATAACACAGTCGTCGATTGGATAAGTAACTTTCTCCATGACAGGAGATAAAGGGTAAGGGTTAATGGGGCTCTCTCCTCGTGGGTACCTGTTCAAAGTGGGGTTCCTCAAGGCACAATCCTAGGTCCTCTTCTCTTTTTACTTTATGTAAATGAATTGCCAACTGTAGCAAAATTATCCGTCCTAATCTTCGCTGATGACACAAAGATTTGGAGACCCATACATAGTATGTCGGACAAAATAGTATTACAGGATGATCTTAGCTCATTGGTGGCATGGTCGGACAGGTGGTCACTAGAAGTAAATCCTAATAAGAGTGTAGGGATGAGGTTAAATAACTCTGATGAATCGTATCACTATACACCACGTGGATTCGTGCTACCCAAAGCAAGAAACTATAAAGATTTAGGAGTTATATTAAGCAATGATCTCAAAACGACTAGTCACTGTAAGGCTGCTGCTGCAAAAGGTTATAGGGTATTATGGTCAATTCGTAGGTCTTTCCAGTAGTTAGACGATGAAATGTTTAGATTACTATACCCGATTTATGTGCGACCACATTTAGAATACGGGATTCAAGCAGCGTGTCCTTAGTTCAAGTATGAAGCAGATATGCTGGAAAGAGTCCAAAAACGAGGTACTAAGATGGTACAAGGTCTATCTGGCCTATCTTATGAAGACAGACTGAGACACCTTAACTTATTTCCGTTATCTTACCGTAGAATACGGGGTGATCTGATATTGGCTTATATTGACCTTGGTATTAACATGTATTATCTCTTGCTTCCGTCTGGGACCGATCATTTGAGAGGACATTCGAAGAAAGTCCAAAAATCCGGGATCAAATCGTTTACGTCTAGAGTTCCGTTTCTCGCACCGAGTAGTGAATTACTGGAATTCTCTACCGGAACACGTAATATCAGCACCGTCTGTTAATATATTCAAAACGAGGTTGGACCTTCACAGTATTACAAACTGCAAGGATTAGTATAGGTCGATAGACCTCCTATCCTTATTACTGAATACTGAAGGTGTTACGTACCTGTTGAATTCGCGTGGTAGTGCTTTGACCACTGTGAGGAATTTTACACGTGTGTCGTTCACAACGTGTTCGTAGAAGTCAGCTTCTGCGTATCAGAACCAGGCTTCAATGTTGTCTGGTCAGAAGGGCATCAGTTGGAACGAAGGTGGAGACATAGTCTTTAACCTAATTGACGTGGGTGTCTGTTCAGTCATGGAGAAATATCAAGTACAAGTGAAGATGTCACAGGTATTCGGAGTTTGACAACGCTTTAACCAGTAGCACCTAATATGAATCGTACCCACTAAGTGAAAGCAAAAGACAGAAGTGAGGAGGTTCGAAGATATATGTGATAGGCTGTCAACATATCGAGGATCGTCTGATCTAATCTGGCTAGCGATTGCGGGGTTGTTGAGCACGGAGTTCCCACTCGTGATCTGTTGCGGTTGCATGACCGAGAGCGTTTAGCTAGGTGAGTCCATTAAACTAATGTGGTCAGCATCCAATGTCGAAAACTTACAGAGCTATTTATTTTGGGGATGTATTTGCCGCTACATCAGGAACCAATACCACTACATACCAACTCAGTCAGATCAGAACTCAGAAATGGAACTGTTCGAAGATTTATTTGGAGAGGTATCAACATACCGAGAATCGTTTGGTCTAACCTGACTGTTTGTTGCAATATATATGTGGCACGGCGTATCCACTCGTGATATGATGAAGACACTTAACCGAGAGCATTCAGCTAGAGTGTGTCTGGTGAGACTAATAAAGTCAGCATCAATATTAAGGATATAGAGAACTGTTTATTTTGGTGATTTATTTTCCACCACACTCTCTTTACTCTTTATGAGTAGTTAAATTATGGAATTTGCTCAGGGAATTTGTTGATTAACTGTTATGTCTCAAGGTCACCGCTTTAATATATTATCAGTGACGCAGATTCAACCCGCCATCCTGGTTTGCAGTTTTCGTTACCTTCAGGCATGGCTCCTTGTGTCTTCAAACGTCTGCCCCAATCTGTCATCCCTATAAGATATGAAATAGAAGTCAAGCCATGCTTCTTAAGCTTCAAGTTCACTGGTACATTGTCTTTATCTGTATCTGTAAGTACTAATGCTCCTCATTTCGTACTCAGATTGAAGAAGAGAGTTCGGAAATATTACTCAACGCCAAAAACATTTCAGTAAGTAAAGCTACGTTCAATGGAAGTAGGTTTGTGTTGTTTGTACTCTACTCGCTTAGCTGATATTGAGGTCATTGAGAAACCGGAATATGAGCAGGTTTCGTTCGTTCTTGGAGAACCATTAGTAGTGAGTATATTTTTTAGTATGTGTGTTTACCTGTCGTAGTCGGTGTTGGGGGAACTAAAGGTGGAGTATACTGGTATAATAAGTGAAAAAATGGAGGGTCTCTATAGAAGTTCATATATCTCTGATGAAGAGGAGCATTATCTACTTTCTACACACTTTGAGGTAATACATCTTCCGACTCTATAAAAAGTCGTAGGCTACTGGCGCTCGACAAGTATTCCCATGTTTGGATGAACCAGAGTTCAAGTCAGTTTTCAGTATCAAACTTCATATTCCTAAAGGAAAGACTGCTATTTCAAATATGGTACGTTTCATCAAACTCGTTATTAGCCCACATCGTTTTCGCTTTTAAATCTCTGATGCTGATGATCACTTAACTGTTTTGAGGGAAAAAGTCTAGTTGATTTGTATTATAGTACATCGAAGTTTATTTTAGAAGAGTTAATAGGCAAAAAATAAGACAACTGCAGGCTTCTGTAAATCCAAATGTTTCCCAGAGGCCTTTTTTCATGCAGCTTTAGGAAGGCTAAGTTTAGACATGCATTACAAATAGTTCCAACTGTATGCTAAGCAATAGGGAATGAGGAGTGTGTTATCAGGTTGTCAAAATTGATTTTTGTAAACATCCAGTTGTGTGTTCAATGACTGCTAGTTGCTATTCATGTGTGCATATGCCTACACAAATGTAAATTGATAACCACAATGGGATGGATACGGTTGTTTATATACTCCTTGTCTTCGGTGAGGCATATATTGTCATCATACTACCATAACCTTAAGCTTATAATAAATTCTAATTCGACATTATTTCATGCTGAAAGTGCAGATGTAAACATGTTGAGGTTTTTCTATTGGTTCACACATTTTAATGATCCACATTGAAATAATATTTCGTTTAATAACTTTATTCTGCGTCAACACCTGAACTAAGGATAAGGAGTGAAGTAGTCGAGCGCGTCGACAACTTCACTTATCTTGGAAGTCTGATCAGCCCTAATGGGTTGGTGTCTGACGAAATCTCAGCACGGATTCGAAAAGCTCGCTTGGCTTTTGCCAACGTACGTCACCTATGACGAAGGCGAGATATCCGTCTATCAATAAAAGAACGAGTATACTGCGCGGCAGTTCGTTCTTTTCTACTTCACGGCTGTGAAACGTGGCCATCAAGGGTAGAGGATACGCGTAAGTTACTAGTATTTGATCACAGAGGTCTCAGAAATATTGCTCGTATCTGCTGGGATCAGTGGGTAAGTAATAATGAGGTTAGACGCAGAGTATTAGGGAATGGTGGTAAATCAGTTTATGAGGTTGTGAATCTTCATCGACTGATATAATTGGGCCACGTGTTACATATGCCTGAACACCGATTACCACGACGTGTAATGCTAACCGGTGTTTTATTTATTTATTTATTTGAACACATGAATATTGGTACAAGAGAGCGCCAATATATATGCGCCACACAAAACAATGAGAATTCGAAGAGAAATAGAAAAAAAAGAGAACAATAACGAGGAGATTGGTGTAATGTAGTATGGCAGAAATGAGGGAACGGAAAGGTACAATCAGAAGAAATCTTTCAGGTAAGGGAGACACAACCACTTTTATCAAGAAAGTAAAGGAAGGTTACATCAGGATCGCCATTGGCTTCTATTCTGAGCCATATCTGATAACGTCTCTAGCCACTGTGTAGCACCATCTCTCAGACCCCAACCAGGGAGTCGTGAAGGACCAACACAAGCCAGTCCTTTGCAGCTTTCTTTCATGCCACGACACCATGTCATGCACTGACCACCTCTCCGCTTCTTCCAACCAGTCCCACAGTCGGCAAATAATGCACGACGTGGAATTCTCTGGGACGACATTCGTAGAACATGTCCAAGCCACCGAAGTCGGTGTTTCAAGATGGTGACACCAATTGAATTATCATCTCTGTGCCCAAACACACGATGCCGAACCTCTGCATTACTGACATGGTGTTGCCAATGAATGTCAGCAATCCTTTGGAGACAGCGATGATCAAACACAGAGAGTCGTCTAACGTCCTCAACTCGGAGAGGCCAAGTTTCACAAGCATAGAGCAAAACTGCTCTCACCGACGCGTTGTAGATCCGACCTTTTACAGCCAGACTAACATCACGAAGGCGCCAAAGGTGGCCCAGATTGGCATAAGCCGCTCTGGCTTTCACTATTCGTGCATTGATCTCATCACTCACACCCCCACCAGCACTTACGCAGCTACCCAGATACACGAACTTCTCGACTACGTCTATCTGCTCACCATCCAGGGTAAGTACAGGATTAGAATCCTGCCAGTCTTGTAGAAGTACTTTGCACTTCGAAGGTGCAAAGCACATACCATACCTACGGACACTGATTGCCAACTGATTAAGTGCGGATTGCATGCCTTGGGCATTATCGCACAGTAAGACAATATCGTCCGCATACTCAAGGTCGAAAAGTCTTTCTCCAGGCAACAGATCCACACCACCATTACTTACATTCATCAGAGCTGTTTCCAGAATGTCATCGATGGCAAAGTTGAAGAGGAATGGTGAAATTGGGTAACCGGTGTTGAAGATGGTTGGAAGAGAATTACGGCCGGTCAAACCAAAACGTGGCATCAGTGCTTGAAGTCACTAACTTATAGTCTGAGCCACGTCGGTAGATGCAGACTACTTGATTGGGGTCCGCGTGATTTTCGTAACCAATGGCTGAAGACTCTTGGTGACGGCTCAGAATCGATCACAATGGCGTAGGTGTATACACTCCCTGTCTTCCCTCAAACTAAGAGATTAAAATCACTTCATATCTTTCTTTCTACTAACTAATTCTTTCTTCCTATACTATATCCTTATATGCAATCTTTCTCTTATATATTACCACCTTTGACCTAACCACTGTTGTGAATCCGGTGTTCATCTTGCTGTGCTAATGAGGTATGACAACCTGGACCGATGCACATATGTGCCTGGTCCTACGTTGTATCTGACTGACTGACTGACTCTCCGTAACATCTTCCTCACGAATACAATCACTTTTAAATAGATTCTTGACCATACTTCGTTCTTAGTAAACTAGACTAATCGTAAAAAAATTAGACAACTTTCTGCCCATGTCGATTTTCTACAGACGGCCTTTGGCTGGAATATTTTGCATTTCTAAGCATGTATAAAAAGGAAGCTTATCTTCACATAAGAGAAAAAAAATGATTTTGAAGAGTAATAGAATTTTTAATAAGCATTTCTCATCTTTAAACTCTACGTATATGATATTTCCACTAAATATGCACTGCTTATAAAGGTGTCGATAAGACCCCAAACTAATTACATCTCACCAAGCTACCTTAATTCATCGAAGGGACCAAGTGTTCTAACTCTCATAATCTACGGGCACGCCTATAAATGTGGCTGCCTAACTGTTGGTAGTGGCGTAAGTGATGAAATCAACTCACGTATAGTGAAAGCCAGAGCGGCTTATGCCAATCTGGGCCACCTTTGGCGCCTTCGTGATGTTAGTCTGGCTGTAAAAGGTCAGATCTACAACGCGTCGGTGAGAGCAGTTTTGTTCTATGCTTGTGAAATCAAACTGAGGACGTTATACGACTCTCTTTGATCATTGTTATCTCTGACGGGTTGCTGAAATCCCGTAGCAACATCATGGTGGTAATGCAGTGGTTCAGCTATATGTGTTCGGGCACAGTGACGATAATTCAGTTGAATTCACTATTTCAAAACACCTACTTTGGTGACTTGGACATGTACTCCGAATATCGTCTCAGCGAATTCCACATCGTGTATTATTTGCCGACGCTGGGACCGGTTAGAAAAAGCGGAGAGGTGGTCAGTGTATAACATGGTGCCGTGACATGAAAAAAGCTATACAGGACTGGATTCTGTTGGTACTTCACGAGTCCTTGGTTGGGGTCCTAAAATGGTGCGACAATGGCTTGAGAGTTATCAGACATGGTTCAGAATAGAAGACAGTGGCTATGCTGCTGCAAATTATTTTTACTTTGCAAAAGTGAGAGTAATTTCTTTAATTGAAAGAATTTTTATGGTTGTATTTCTCCCACCTGAAATGCTTCTCTCATTATTATTCCACGCATACATTAGTTTCTGTTCCTTGTTACTCTTTTTCATTCTACTCAACTATTCTGTCTCTTCACAACCTCACTTTCATTATGAGGCACATATATATTTTGGTGCTTCCTTGTACTAATGTTTGTGTTTAAATAAATAAATAATACTATAAATATTCAACTCGTGGTTTGGGAAAGTAATATACTAGTATGAGCTAATATACTGAACCTATACTTTGCTAATTATTTTGTTCAGCCTCTTTCAAACCTAATTATACCATATTATGGAATGATTTATAGTTGATTGTTAAAATAAAATCTAAGGAGTAGTAGCTCAACACTCCTAACAGTCATATCTCTCCATGTAATCTTGAATGAGCAAATAGTTGATATTCCTAACCTCTGTACATCGTACAACTTGTGATCTTATACACTAGCGTTCTGTCACTGAATGGGTTTGTAGTAATTATTATATTTTTATCACTTGTTTTAATGAATATAATCCATTTCCTTAGAGACTCATTTGTTCTTGTATGATGCTTTTCACTATTCGTTTGCTTTAGCCTCTCTTATCGAAAGTAAAGTACGATGAAAACATAGTTACCTATCATTTCCAAGATACTCCAAAGATGTCAACATATTTGGTAGCTTTTGCTGTTGGAGATCTTGAGTATACCGAGGTAAGATCATATTTGCAGTTGATATTACGCAAATAGACGGTTGTAATATCTGGGGACAAGTATAATAGTAGTTCACTGTGATTTAGTTAAGGATGATTGACAATCAACGTACTCCTATGTAGTAATATGCATATATAAACTATTATGAAGATGTTACACAGACTATTCAGTTTCCGTATGTTTGGTCTGTACGTGGACTAAATGTTGTTTACACTCACTCTTTTGGGACTCATTTCGTTAAAAAATTTCCCAGTCCAAATCCATGACTTCTGATAGAAAAACTGTTGGGATATTCAGGAAAATATCCCAAAAATTATCCTGTTAAGCCGAATGCTATCCTTGAACATGAAATTGTATCATCTTATTGGTCAGTATTTATTTAACGTGTCATTTTCCTGGCCATTACTGTACAATGTTATTTTCTATTTTATGGTACGATGTGATCTGGTTGATTGGTATATAAACAGAGTATGTTTGAAATATAATGATTCATATCTCAGAGGCTGAGACTTGCGTTCTGGACTCAACTGGCTGGGCTAGACAGGGAAGCAGGGCCAATCAGAACTCTAGGCCGTTCGTGCGTGTTTTACGTGTCATTGATCCGATCGATAATACACTGCGCTCTAATCTGCAGTCCACAAGACACAACAAAAACAAAAAGCTAAATGGTATCCTTCAAGGTTATGTGTATTGGTATAAGTTATTACACATCATATTGTACCAGCAATCCATATTAATAATTCAGTTTTAAGTTATTCACTTCAAGTGAAAAGCTACTGTACTGTCGGTAACGACGATAAACATAAACATTTTTTACAGTTCTATCGACTTCGAATGGCATAATTACTAAAGTTCAAATCAATATAACTAAACAGCAGTGTATATTCTTGGCTTTGAGTTCTGTCTATAATATCTTGCTAGCAATATTGACTGAAATTAATCTAGGTTTGAATCTGTGACAGTGACTTAAATTTGAATGTTTTAACTAATAAATCATCGTCAAATATTTCATTTCACTATACTAACTACAAACCTGGAAAATGTTTGCATTTGTGAAGTTGAGTCGTAGTTGGTTCTTTGTTATTTCTTCGTTTATAACAAAACGTTTGAGTTAAAATATCTGAATATGTTACGGTTAGGTTGGCACTTGTTGTCGCGAGGATGTCTGAAGTTTGCTTAAGTCATGTTGATTAGTGTGATAATGGAGATTCAAATATATCAAACGAGTTCGCCTTGGTAATTGTAAACATTTAGTCCTAAATTATGTGAATGTTATTAGTCTGTACGATGTCAGGTGTTAAAAATTACTTTTGTTCCCTTAAGCATAAACAGGACATCATAGGCACCAGAAAATACTCCAGATAGTTTGAAAAGATTGTTCAAGTGAGTCACTTCATATTTCTGAGCTATGAACTAATCCTAATAAAATAATAATGTGATAGGATTAATCACTATCTGAAATATATTATTCAAATAGATTGATGTCCCAGTGGATTTAATGTGTTTTTCCTTTAAGTCTTGATCTGATTTGTCACAGACTATTGGTCACGATTACATAGAGATGTCACTGCGATAATATTTCAGTTTCCCTGTCATCAAAAGTACACATTTACGTCTGCTGTTTGTAATCGATAGTTATTTGTTTCCCATATTACTCTTCTGAAGCTCATTCTCAATAACTTTCTATTCCAAAATGAACGAATATACCAAGCCAAGGGGTGAACGAATCATTTACAAAAAAGATAGAATTTCTAGAAATAACTACTAGAATTGTTAATCTCGTATGGAACTGACATCTTTACGTCATGTGAAACAGAACTCGATACGAATACTCGGTGTTTTGTCTTAACAATAGGGAGTTTTCAGTTTTATGCGAAATTTACTGCGTATTTTCTAGGGTTATTGATGTCATTTCACATAGATATGACATCTAAAGTAGATTTGATTAATATTGATAATGAACTTCATACGCTTCTCCCAGTTTATCAGTACAAAACTTGTGTTGGATTTTGATGGAGTCGCATCTTCCATTCACAAATCAGGTCACTTTGCGAATATGATTTATTGTTTTCAGGTGTAACAAAACATTTCACTGCTCCAATTTCAGTTTATATCCTATTTTTAGGTAGAGTATTTTTAAGATTACTCATGCTAATATTATTTTAATACTGTGTTTTTATACCTCATTTACACCACAGGCTATTGACAAAAACGGAGTTTTAGTGCGTGTGTATTCGCGTAAAGGTCTTCATTCAGAACAAAGCCAGAGTTCTATCGCCCTAAATGTGGCTTGTCATTGTTTGCCATTCTACGGGGAATACTTCGGCATTAAGTATCCATTACCCAAAGTTGATTTACTTGCAGTCCCTAATATGTGCGGCGGTGCAATGGAAAACTGGGGATTAATAACTTTTCGGCAAGTTGTCTTTTAATACAATAAAACTTGCAACATATTCTCTGGATCTGCATTTTGATGATTACATTTCATCCCGAAGATCCTAGTGAGATTTTCTGAATAGGGTTTTCAAAACCTAGTTACATTTGGTCTCATATTTCTTGTTAAACACTTTTAATCTATAGCTTTACTCTAGATATCCGAAAATTCAATAACTCACACCTCTGTACCCATAAATAATCCAAAAAGACACATTCTGTACACAAAAACCATCCTTCAAACGATATAAAAGACTTAAGTAAATGAGTTGATATAAACTTCCACATGCTATGTCATTCAGTATATTACAAGAAACAATATAATCTCCATTATTACATATTTGTACCTTATGATTTGAATGACAAAAAAACATACACACTTCATAAACTTCCTACGTAAGCTTTTGTAGATAGTTGTTCAAACTAGTAGCTTGATGAATGGAAAATCAGACTCAGTCACTGAGATGAAGCCGCAGCTGACTACTTTTTATTAATCGTGTTTTCTTACCCTTTTCATTGTCTTCGGTTTCTGAAAACTTTTCTGGGAAATTATCTAGAACTTTCAACACTTTTAAATCTGCCTAAAGGAGTAGTCAAATAGTGCAGCTGATTGATAGATGGGTTCAAAGGTTGGTTTTGGTGGCTGTATTTGATAATCAGTGGACCACTGTTTCTTTCATAAATACTTGACACTTATCATGTAGAAAATATGAGTATAATGTCATGAAATATTTAGTTGTCGTTAGTTTTTTTATGAAATAAAGAATTTTACTTTTTGGGAACAACCACTTTTAAACTGTTTTCAGTTGTAGAGAAACTTATTGGGAGTTTCATCAACAAAAAATATTTATCTGACACCACGTCTGTAATGCTGCACTTTTAAATCGTTCTGTAGAACCGTCTATTGCCAAATCCATACTGTATCTGTAGCTGTTGTTGTTTTTACTGGTTCTTCCTACCATACCAGAGAACCAAGAAATTAGCCCACCGACCCGGATAATTCAGTTTTTCATCCTAATAGATAGGTGTAATCGTTCAAGGATCGCAGTTACCTACCAGAGCCATAATCATTCAAAGATTATTATTGTAGAATGAACAACACAGAAACTGGATTTGCACTGTACTGACAATCTTCGTCGGTTGAAGTGGCTGAGACACATTTTACACAGACCCAACAACCCTTACCACGATACAAAGTGCTGACTGGCGTAGTATTGTGTTGACGGAAGTTTAAAAATAGGCTAAGAAAAACGTGGTTTCAATCCATGATATGATTTGCTGTGGATCCGAGTCGCGTCAATAGGTACAAAGTATCTGGTTAATATCCCAAGAATAATCATGAGCAATTGTTACGGACGTTTGGTGACGTTGCTCTCACACTTGGCCTGAAGGGAGCAGATCCATTCATTCTTCATCTACTTGGTTTTGGGTTTTAATATTATTTTATGCCTTTTCGAACTAGATTTTCTCTGTTTTGTATTTTTTCATTGTCACTGATACTATTCTAACATCTTTGGAATTTATTTTATTAATTTCATGTCTACCTGTCAATGTCACGTTGTGAGTTGGGGTGATACACATTTGCAACAGGTTTCAATTATGAATGACTAAACTTTGTCATATTAGTTAATCGTAGTACTGCTAAGACTTGTATACAACAACTACCCCCCTAGATTTAGTTTTGGAGCAACATCGAAATTTTCTAGTTATGACCGCTGCCATAATTACCTATGGTCGATTTCACTGGCAATATATATGTTTTTTATTGTGTACAGTTTATCATTTGGTACTGTCTGATGCTGTAACTTATATATCAAGTATGTGTAAATTCCAGAAAATCTCACATTATTTAATTCGTTTATTTGTATTCTGAAGTTCACATTTTCTTGTGGATTAGTAAGTAATCATCTAATATGATTTACTTCTTGTTTAGTGAAAGATTTTTATTAGCTAATCCACGCACATTGTCTCCAGCAACAAAAGAAGCCATTACAACCATAATCAGTCATGAAATAGCCCATATGTGGTTTGGTAATCTCGTTACGATGGAATGGTGGACAGATTTATGGCTTAAGGAAGGATTCGCAGCTTGGATAGAATACTTTTGTTCTGATCACTGTTATCCCGAAATGGATATTTGGGTAAGACATTCCGATAGATTTTTTCATACATAACACAAAAGTGATATATATATATATATATATATATATATATATATATATATATATATATATATATTAGTGAGGACTCTCCTATTAGTACGAAACCACCACGTTCCACAAAACCTCGTTATATTGTCTGTGCTTTACTTTCATCACTAGAAGTGTCCACTTTAGTATTCTAAACTAACCTGTTCGTCAACTCAAATTATCCAGGTTATATTAGATGATGCACTTCGTTCACTGGGATTTTAAGTAGCACAAAGAGGCTGAATCAGTGTAATCAAATAACATATTTCGAATTTAAAAATCATACTGTGATGGCTTGTTATGAAGTTACGTCGATTTAATGCGGTTGTGTAGAAAATACCATATCTCTTATTGATAGTTGTTAAGTTTGTGTATAAAAATAAAATTTTACCCCTGAATGAAGAGAGGAATCGTTAAGTATTAACAGTTTCCAACTGATTGGAATCTTTATTAGTAACACATGGACATAATATTCACTGTATTATAGACAGATGAACTGTACGAGAACACTTTGTTATCATTTATAAATACCAGCAAGGATATAATAAATAAAATCGATTTTATAATAAAATACAGAGCTGTTTGTCTAAAAAAACAAATATAATTTATTACAAGATCACCAATAAATTTCTAAGCCAACACCTTTATCCACATAATTTAAATAAGTTTTAATGTAATCCTTAATAAACGTAGAATCAACGATGTGAAGAGCCTATTTTAAATATCTAGTGGTAACCGCTACTTATAAGTCAACACATATTACCACAGGGTCATGCTATTGCTTTTCTGGACGAGTGGTGAAGTAGTTATGAAAGCGCCGATTTTTCAACCGTTAGGCTGTGAGTTTGAACATAACTCCATTTAATTGAGTTTGGAGAACCTAGTAATTCTCACTATGACGCTTAAACTGTAGATTAGAGACAAGTCCACGCACCTGTGCTTGTTGAAGAAGCCACTTTTCTCTCAACTTGCACTAACAGATTAGAATTCAGTAGGTATTTTTATATTGATTTAGTTATCATCAATAAAGTTAAAACAACTATGATAACTAATCTTAATTATTTGGAAGTACACGACATGCTTTTTCAAACCTCATGATTTACATCAATTGCATTTAGGAAGTTCCCGATAAAAAGAAGACATGGCAAAATGGTTCAAAATTTAAATGATGGATACTAACAGAGTTATCAGTAGTGACAAATGTAATTTTAATAGATTACTAAATAAAGTGACTCATAACGAATACAGTTGCGTCTACTTGACTTTCAGCTGCAGTGTTTGTCTGAAGATTGATGATACTACCCAGTTGCTTAAATAAAAGTGAGTGGATCGGAGTCCAAACTCACAACCTATAGGTTGATAGCCAAGTATTTCAGCCACTAATCAATTGTTTGTCTCATATATGGCCTAGGTTTCTTGATCTTTTCATTTTGTTCCCTGTTACAACTACTGTCAATATGACTGATACAGATACTCTTTATATTTTTATTTGTGTACTTGTATTAAATTAAGTCAGTAAGGAGTTGTGGAGATTGTTGGATTTCATTAAAGTCATGAATCAGTTTAGGTTAGACCACCTTTAAAAACCTGAAAGCACTGGACGACCGTTTCGTCCTAGTATGGGTGTCCTTAGGTGTACACGTTCACGACCCCACACTGGCGAGTCATACCCAGGACCCTCACTAATTCGTCTCAGATGTGAAGCCTATACTCCTCGGAGACAGTGAAAGATGGTCACTCAGTGTCGCCCATTGGTTGAAGTTAGACGTTAACACTGTTGGACGCCGACTTAGTGGTCTAGAGGTTAGGTGCTCATGTGTGGGACTGTAGGTCCTGGGTCATAAATTCTCACATGAAAGGTGGTGGTTACTCACTTCTGAGGAGTCTCATACTGGGAAGAAACAGCCATCCAGTGCTTCCAGGTTTTCAATGGTGGTTTAACTTAGGTTGGTTCATGATTTCAGTAAACAAAGTCAAGTAAAATGAACATTCGGAATATTAAATCTACGAAAGTGGTAATTCAGCGATGAGAAAAAAGTAGACTAAATTTACTGATCAATAATTTAATATATTAATTATAAGTGAAAACGAATAAAACTTTGATACTGCTATTGATTGGATCACCTCAAATCTGTAATCTTAAATTTCTTGATAAATTGATGGAACGCCAATACCTGTATCGTTTAAAAGTTCATATATGCTGTGCTTACGCCTGTTACCCCTTAATGGAACATAGGGCCCCGACTAGGATACTTCATCGAAGTGTCCTGAGTAGTCATTTCCAGTTATTGCCATTCACTATTTATTCTTTTGATGTCCGCCTCCAATTCCCGACTCCATGTGTTCTTCGGCCTTCCTCTTTTCCGTTTCCCTCCAGAATTCCAAGTTAGCGATTGCCTCGTGATTCACTTTGGTGATTTCCGTAATGTATGACCTATCCACTTCCATCGTCTTTTCCTAATTTCCTCTTCAGATGGAGGCTGGTTTGTTTTCTCCCATAGTAGACTGTTACTGATGTTATCCGGTCAACGGACATTCAGCATCTTTCGTAGACAACTGTTTTTAAATATCTGTACTTTTTTGATGATGGTTGTAGTCGTTCTCCGAATCTCATCCCTGTACAGTAGAACTGTCCTACCGTTCGTATTGAAGATTCTCACTTTGATATTAGTTGACAATTGTTGGAATACGGCCCCTGCTTTACCAATCCTTGCATTTACGTCTGCATCCGATCCTCCTTGTTCATCTATGATGCTTCCCAGATACGTGAATTTTTCCACGTGTTCCAGAGTTGCCATCAAGTGTGATCGGGTTGGTGTTCTCCTTGTTGTATTTGAGGATTTTGCTTTTCCATTGTGTATGTTGAAGATCACTGCTGCATAAACTTCTGCTACACTGGCTGTCTTCGCCTGATTTTGTTTTTGTGTATGGGATAGAAGAACTGGGTGATCTGCGAAGTCTAAATCGTCTAGTTGCGTCCAAGCTGTCTGTTGTATTCCGTGCTTTCCATTAGATGTGAAGGTCTTCATAATCCAGTCAACCACCAGAAGAAAGAGGAAGTGCGAGAGTAGACAGTCTTGTCTGACACCGGTCTCCATTTGGCGTGCATCTGTTTGGTATCCTCAATGCACGAATTTGAGTGTAGTCCTCTCTTTGTTCTCACGTCTTTAACTGAACTCTTAATCGATGTAGTTGTGTGACATTATAGCAACTATCCTACAACCAATTTCGATTATGTTCAACTTTGGATAAACCTTTTTATTAACTTACTTAACAGACAATGTTATTTGAACAGTAACAATTCGCATATTTCTTTGTACCGTTATGATCACCAGAGCACATGACAGACTAGCTAAAATGTTGATTGTTTAAATATCACTCGATGATTCATCCTCCTTCCCATGTATATATGTACTCAAATCATATTATTGGCTTTTGCTTTGCCTTGCTGCACTCTTATGTAATTTGATTATAAATTTGATTATGTAGTTGCTCGCATATATTTATTCGACTCCGCTTCAAATTCGCTCGATATACTTATAGCTTTGTGATCTGCGCTATCCGTTAATTAAGTGTAGTTGCCACTTCTTATTGCCTTCTGATTTTAAACACCGTTGACATTTATATTTACAACGGTTATCGAGGTGATCGACTAACGAAACAAAACCACTACAACATCCCAAGCAGTTTTGTCCATTCTGACCTTGGAGTTTGGGTCTCCCATCAGGATGATGAGGTCTTTTCCTTGGCACTTTTCTACGATGGACTACAGCCTCTCACAAGACTGATCTCGTTTTCTTTGCCATCATTGACTGGCACATAGCACTGGGTAACATTCACTGTAAGCCCCTCCTTTGTTTTAAAGGATCCATTGATGATTCTGGATTCATGAGATTAACATCCTATGAGTGCTTTTCCTGTTTTTTGTACAGCATCAGTGCAACTCCTTGTTTCTACTAGGCATTTTCTTCTTCACCTCTCTCGAAGCTAATCTATTCTGTCAGGGTTGGGTTGAAATGGTTTCATTCATTCCACCTACAGCCAAGTTTTATATCCCAATTTCCGCAGCTATTTGACTGGTTCTGCGGACATCCAGCGTACACATGTTAATTGTTTCTCTAGTTGTTAGAAGGGACATCTGCCTCGTGACTTCCGAAGAATATCACCTTTCACCATGAGGTATTACAGCCCTTCTAAAAAAAGATCCTTTAACTCTCAGGACAAAGTTCAAATGATTTTTTATGATTAGCGTTATTATGGCAAGGTTTTTTCTACGGGATGGGGTCGTTGACTCCATACCCAGCCTTCCTCCTTCATCCGGGTTTGGGACTAGGAGTAACATACAGGTAGGGTTATGATGTACTTACCATCTGTTTGAACGTTTCTTATTAACTAATTGCTTTTTAAAAGGTTTCCTGTTTTATTTTTCTTCCATTTACTATTTTAGACACACTTTTCATATCATCGGCTATCCTCTGCATTACGTCTAGATGCACTATCTAGCTCACATCCGATAGAAGTAAGTTTATTTCATTTTGTAATTAGAGGTTAATAACATATTTATTTTACTTTTTATGTTTAGATTTGCTCAGAACAATTGAAAACTATTTCACATTCATTGTACACAATAAACGTATTTAAAATACTATTGAATTGTTGATAAAAGTTTTCGGAAGATCTTTCAGTTATTTGGAGTCTTTTCTAAACAAAAAATTTATCTTTTCTACACTACATGTTAATAAGATCATCTCGGAGTAATGGATGAACTAACTAAGTATTACCTCCCAATTCATATCCATGACCAAATCGACCAAAAGTAGCTGAGTAGACAATTCTAATACGAAAGGATCAAATGACAATGTCTGGAGTGACAATCGTCTACTCATACCTTCTAGTCGTGGTCGATTTAGAAAGTCTATTTTCGTCTACTGTTAAGTTGTCGACCACCATCTCGAATAGTACTTATGTGTTTTCGGAGTCACTAATTAGTTGAAAAAATTTTGTCAGCGCATAATTGTGGAAGAAGGTCACCTCTATGTTGTCTGTACTTGTAATGCATCAACTTTGTAAGTTTTCACCAGTGACCCCTGTTATTTATTTTCATATATGGTTCGGATGTTGGAATCTTCTAGTTACTGTTATCATTCAGACTTTATCTACGAAGTCTTAACCTGTTGACACGGTTCAGACCGAGAGCTAGTGACTTTATGACAGGACTTCACGTCTTGGTTTGACTAAGCGTAGCTTTCTTCCAACTTACTCCTGTACCAGTCAATTTGGATCATTGAGAGGTTGGTGGGCGGCTTCTGCACATTCCTCCCCCACTAGTCGGAGAAGATTTGCAACCTCATCGACTATTTCCTCACAATTACCCTAGTATAATAATTCCAATTACAGCACTAATCATCTGGCTGTTTCATTATAAGCGACTACCGCTGCAAAGGCATTTAAAATCAAATACTTTTAACGTATACAAGATATTTACTCTCAGAGACCATGTTCCAGAGTCATATAGTTAAATGGAGTATAAGTTTTCGCAATATGTTTAACCTTTGATAAGCAAGTTAACATCTTATTTTCAATGCTCATGGCACTGGTTTGTATTACATCTTTCTAAAATGAGTATTTCACAACTTAACTTGCTATAATGATGTATTACTTTAGTTTCTCCATTGTTTTAATCAGTTTCGTAAAATTTACAGATCGGAAATCTTCAATCAAAACAACAGATACATTACTTATATTTTCAAACCTTATTCTGTTACTTTTATCACTTTCCTGAAAAATTAAACTAGGAAACAAGTCAGTGATAGCACTGTACTTAATACAGTCTGGGCATACGATCGCACAAGAATCCTCAAAAAAGGGTTTTAGTTCATATAAAAAGAAACTAACGGCTGAAGCTCCCCTACACATTTGCCCCCAAATTCCCTGGTATGGCCGAGAGTGGGGAGAACTTAATCTCTCTCTCGAAATACTCTCACATGGCCACGCCCATACACAACAACTGCTATGGAAATCCTACTCACTGCCTTCTCGCGGCGGGGGTGTTGTCTACGAAATTTAAAGGACGAAAAGCGAATGCCTGGTTCTTTAACCGGGTTGGTGGCCCCTTCGTGTCCACCTAGGGGAGTTGAAAAACCCTGATTCCGCATATAGGCAAATCCAAACAGAATCAATGGGAGAGATGGAATGCGATTAGCTGTCCCATGGCCACAGATAATTAATAAGTCAACCTGAACTCATTATATTTTACTGAATTTAATCCATCGCTTATTATGTGAGCAACAACGATTACTTTCAGCTCTAATCGGTTGGTTTATCTAAGTATATGATAAATGATCAGCTTGATCAAAACTTAACGTAATTTTATGCATGGTGTGACATGTTTGGCTCATATCATCTATAAAATTGTTTGTTTTCGTTAAATATCAATAAGCGGTCGATATATATAGTCAATGAAATATTTCACATCAGATCCACTTACACCTTCATACAACTGCTGTCTTAACACAATCATCTCTGTTACTCAAGCCAAACGTCTGATTTGTACTACGACAAATCTCACTTTCAACGTTGCTAATATGATTGGAGTATCTGCTTAATTTACAGTTAACCTGTGAGCTCTGTACTTCTGCTTATTTTCGTGTTCGATTAATCTTGAACCAGAATGCCAAATAAAACGCTGGATTTACCTTAAGTTCAATTGCTGAGATTTTTACAAATATGATTTTTCTTTATTTTTGTCTTACATTAGCTTGGCTACCAATTACTATGAAACTATTCGCTCAAATTTAGACGAAAGTTCTTATAGACTGACTTTGGTTAGTCCTAGCTTTTTTCTTCTCGGCTACAATAATCAGGTTACTTGTAATATTGATTAATTTACTAGTTTTTGTAAAATTTTAATTTCAGGTGGAAGTTTCCAATCCCAATGAAATTAATGAGATTTTCGATACAATATCTTATTGTAAAGGTGCTAGTCTTATTAACATGCTGCATGGATATTTAGGTGATAGTATATTTCGTTCAGGATTATCATTTTACCTTAGAAGACATGCTTATTCTAGTGCAGTTACAGATGATCTTTGGTTCGCTTTAACCTCAAGTTGTGGCACGAATATTGGTAGTTTAATTGGCCCATGGACACGGAATACCGGATTTCCAGTTTTATCTGTCTTACTTGTTAGCATAAATAACACTTCTTTAGAAGTACAATTATCACAAGAGGAATATAAACTTCAATCAAAATATACACAAGGTCAGTCACAACGTATATATTTACTGCAATAACTAATTGTTATGAAAAAGTAATCATAGCATGCAACAGTATCATTTAACCAGATTTTATATACCAGTGTTTTATAACATTAGGATGTACACCCAAAACTATATAAACATTCTGTGCACTAATCGTGTAATTGAATCAACAATCAACTTACGGTGATCATCGAAAAAATATCCGTTGGTTAAAGACTTTGAATGACACGGCTCAAAGTCGTTTGGAATGGCACAGGTGCATTCATTCTTTGTTTTCCTTTTGGCCCTCAGTTTCCAAATTCCTCATAGAGTTTTCTACTTCAATATTTGGTATCTTAGATACCTAGTTCTAATCCTGTACGTCATTTACTACTCTGGGATTCGCTTTGACAATTTCATTTCTCTGTTTTAATGGCGTATGGCAACCTGAGTCGATGGGCAGGTGTTTATATATATATATATATATATATATATATATATATATATATATGTTTATCGTGGTTAATTTTTTCTAATAGAGATCAAACTCTGGCCTGTACCAATAACCTTAACCTGTTCTTCAAAAGATGGAAAACATTCATTCGTATTTAAACATGTTCTAAGGACAGCATCAGAAGTAGTAGATATACCTCTTGCTTGGATCACGACTACTAACCCTGACGATTATTTGATACGGGCCAATGCAGACGCAACAGGATTTTATCATGTAAGATATGATCCAAAGCAAATGAATAGTTTATTGGATGATATGAAGTTGGGTGGATGGAGCACTTCTAGTCGCTTCGTATTTATTAATGATGGATTCGCATTAGTAAGCGATTTTTGCTTTATATATTTGATTTTACTGATGATTTTCTCCTGTTCTGATGTTAGATTGTTGTTTGGAGGCATCCGAAAGCATGCCCTGAACCATATATTTCGCGCTAGTTTGCTCTCTTCAAAAAGATGTATTTGGAATTTTGAGGGAATTGATTATTCTGTCCTTGTAGTAAGAGAATTCCTCTATTGAGGATAAACCTTAAAAGTTTGAAAGAATTACTATACTACTTAAGTAATATGTTTTAAAAGTAAAACAATAAATGACTTTCTACAAAAAACTGAAACTAACCTTCAGTGTTCCACTTTTTGTAGTTAGTTGTAAATTTAGTGATTGGCTTGTGAGTTTTTTTATTAAACATACTCAAATAACTAAAAACTTGAAAAAAATATGTCTCAGCAATTTGCCCAAATCAGGTTCATTCTACTAAAAACTGTCTAGTAGAAGTTTAAATTCTTAATTCTCTGATTTAACACAAAGCCTTTGCACCAATGAGCATTAGTTAACATCAGAATTTACACTAATCAATATAAAATAACATTTTACGGAACAGGAGGAAAATAAAATCTCAAAGGTGACGACTTGATATAGATTCAGGAAGGTACATTGCTGAAGTGCTATCAGTCCTAGTTTGTGTTTATAAAATTACTTGATGTATTAAATTAGAAATTAGATATCCACAACCGTTACTGTTTTTGATCTTATAACTAACTTTTGGTACTGAAATTATCACAGAAGAATTCATAGTGTATTTGCAGACGTGCCATAATAAATAACTTTGCTTTTTCCCCTTCAAACTAGGCGCTGAAACTACTACACTAGTAGATTTTGAGGCTTTTGGAATACTGGAGGCAAAGCATATTCAAATGACATATACCAGATGAATGCATCGTCACACAAACGGTGACAATCAGAAAAATCAAATTATCCTAGCTTAAATTAGTCTTACTTCATAAGCAACGTATAATTCACTTTCTTTCATTGTCATACCTTTAAACAATACTAGAACTGACCAATAGGCACTACTGAATCGTAACTCTTCTCATGGCAATTCACCCACCATGATATAACTGTTTTTTTCCTATTTCCTTAGAAGTATAAACCTTCAACCATCCCAAAAATTCAATACAAAAAATGTATCCAATCTCATTCTTATCAACCCATTTTAAGTACTATGAAATTCAAAAGTGAAACGTTTACGAAAACTATTCACAATTAACTGAAATATCACTTCAGTAGTCTTTAGTTTATCATAAAGCTATACCTAATGTCTGTTAAATGTCGACATTTTATGTCACTATCTTAGCGGAGAATGTCTCCATTGATGCGCTAAAAAGTATGGTTAATTAAATTAAATACAACTAATTACCAGTAACTATTTTGATTCATAAGTCAAATAGAGAATCATCATTCCAGACGTGTACATTAGAAAGAATAACCACTTTGTTTGCTACCACTATTTTTAATAGTTTAAAACTTGGAAGTGGTTTTGGTGGCTCATAAAATTTCTGATCATCGTTGTTGTGTTTCTTCATAGTTTTTTTACAGTTGGGATACAGTGCTCTCCACACACTAGTATTGTTTGATACTTTAAATCCTCTGTGTATAAAACACCCTAACCTATAGTAATTGACAGAAATTTGGTTCTGTCTAATTTACTTAACTAAAATTTATCTGATGTTCCGATTGTATAGATCTAGTCTATCATACAGAAATACTATGGTATAAATTGTGGCAAACATATGTTTCCTTCTTTCATTAATTAATTGCTGTTATATTCACCACAAACTATTCTTCCAATTAAGTTGTATACAATTACTTGTTATCAGTTTTTAGAAGTAATATTATTTTCTCATTTACATTTTTGTAGGCTAAAGCTGGTTACATTAGTGTTTACGATTGGCTTATACTTTTGCCTAAATTAATAGAAAACGAAAACGAATACTCTGTGTGGCGTGGTGTTCTAGATGGTCTTAATACTTATATTAAGAGAATAATACAGTCTAGTGACATTCCTTCTTCACTCTATAATAGTTTCTTATTAAAATTAGTATATCCAGTAATAAATAAATTGGGTAAGTTATCAGTAGGAAATTTTTCTCTGTAATGAGATTTGCGTTTATCATTGTATTGCTTTAACCATTGTTTTGTGTGATAATCAGAAGATTTTGCACATATTATATTTTCATAAGCTATTTGATAACAGTCGTTCCTATAAAAGTAGGGAATACGTGATTAGATTTTATATATGTGAAAGTGATTTCAGGTTCGTTTTTAGGACATCTGAACATTTTTTGTTAAAATATGTCACTAAGTTTTTCAATATTTGCCGAAAATAAGAAAAGCGGAGTCAAACTACGCTTTGTTTCACTAACCAGTGGTCAGCTAGATTATCTGAACTGCGGACTACTTAGTTGTGGTCCATGCGATAATTATGATCACGAATTGGAGAAATTTGGCGACATCGCTCAGAATCAGTGATAGTTGCACAGGTCTGTGCATTTTTCATCGCCCTCTCGAATCCAAGTTTCATTTTTAGTTAGCGCCCAAATGGCCTGGTGTGGCCGAAAGTGGAGAGAGTCCGTTCTCTCTCTCTCCTCGAAATGCTTTCACATGTCCACGCGTATATAGCCACTGCCGAAGAAGTCCTACTGTTATAATTCTCTCTTATTACAACCCAGCTATTCCTACTACTTAGTATTCTTGGACACCATTTCACTCGACAAGTCCGCAAATCAGAATACAGTTGGACAGGAAAGAAATTATGTCCAAATAACAAGGGTAGATGAAAGTAAAAAGCACAATAAGAAAAACGTTAGTATATTTATAGTTTTCACATGAGAAGATTCTCAACAACAGGTTCCAAGCATTACAAGATCTACTCGAAGAAGGGAAAACTACTATGGAGAACAATTGGAAAGAGATCAGGAGATGCTGGGTTGCAAGAAGCATCATCATAGGGAATGGATCTCCATCCAAACCTTGGACAAGATTCAAGAGAGGAAGAGCAAGAAGACAGCAATTAACAACAGTCGAACAAAAACAGAAAAAAGTTGAGCCACAAGTTAAATACACAAAAGCAAACAAGCAAGTGAAATGGAGCATTAGAGCTGACAAGCAGAAATACGTGGAAGACCAAACAGCGACAGCGGGAAAAGCTGCAAGAGAAGGAAATATGAAACAGTTATATGACACTATGAGGAAATATAGTAAAGCAGAAAGACCGATCAAGGATAAGGAAGGTAAGACAATCACCGATATTCAAAAACAGAGGAACAGATAGGTAGGATACTTCGAGGAACTCTTCAATAGACCAGCTCCATTGAATCCACCGGACATCGAGTCAGCTCCTCCATGAAGGGTAATAGTCATAAGTAAGTAAGTAGGTAAGAATGTATTATTATTTTTGAATGGTGTTGTATGCTTAAGGCTATCAAGCTTTATTTCCATTTATTTGGGTTTTTAATTGGTTAATTTTATTTCAATACTATAAACGGCCAAATTCACTTGTGTATATTTAAAACGTGCTAAATTATATGATCTCATTAATTGTCTTCTCGTAATTTTTAAAGATTTAACTATTCTCACTTTAAAGTAATATTCATTTTAAGCAAATATGAATAGTGGTTAGTAGTGGAATCCTGGATACGCGTTTCGTCCTATTCGGGACCCATCAACTGGATGTACCTGCATCCCAGTGTTGGTGTTCACTCCGGGACTCGAATCTAGTACCGTTCGCTCCAAACGCCATCGCGTTATCCACTTAACTACTGAGTCCTGATGGCCACTAAGCTTGTGCAATGCGGTGATTTTTAAACTCATTTTGTTTTAATCTTCTCAAGCAATCTACACCATAATTTTTCAATTTCAAATTTTTCTCATCAAATTAAAGTTTTTCTCTGTTTCAATTTTAATAATAATGTTATTGGTTTTCTATTGTTTTTCCTCCCTCACCTAAAAGGTCTTATTACAGATTGTCATTTCTTGCCACATAATACAAGTATGCTCAGATCATTAATGTTATCTGTTGCGGGTGCGGAAGCAGAAGATAATAATGTGATTGAGGAAGCTAAACGACTTTTTGAAGCTCATCGTTTAGGCAAGAAAGAATTACCAAATGATTTACGTAAAGCAATTTACACAATAGCTGTACGTCATGGCTCTACAGATGTAATTCAATATCTTATGAACGTAAGTATATGATTTTATTCTCATTAGGAATTTAATTTTAAGATTGATTTTTTGGGTGAGGATTTTATGCAATGACTGCAATTGTAGCATCGAGGATCTCCATCGAAACCTTCTACATGAAAAGCTTTTCTTTCATTGATGGGAGGTTTGAAATTTCAAGTATAATATACTTTAACCCCTATATCTTACATGACTGAAATGATATGAGAAATTAGTTCAAATAAACAAATTAAACTGCAGAGAATTTAAGTTACTTTTTATGTTTTTTTCAGTATTTCATAAGAAAAATGACTATAGTGTATATAGTGTTGTGAAACTTGGAATTTTCTTTCTGGTGATTAAGTTAACGATAATAAAAATAATTTCGATTGTAATTATTTAAACATCTTAAATTGATGGTTTAGTTTTTGTTACAGTTCTTTGAACATTTTGCCATCATGCCTCCTGTCTAAAATGGAATAGTGTTATGGAGGTATATTAGCATATTTTTTAGAACTTCATTTAAAACACTAATTATATCAATATCACATTTGTGTCTCTCCTTAGACGTATAGTCGTACCGACTCACCTGAAGAACGTCATCATATTCTCTTGGCTCTGGGTGCAGCACGTGAAACTAATTGTAATGGCCTTAATGATTCATCTTCTTCGTCGCCTTTATCGGATGTTTTACATTTTTGTTTGAATCCAAACGGTCCAATAAAAGATCAAGATAGAGTTCATGGACTGGTCGCTTGTTCATCGTGGTCTATTCCAGCTAGACTAGCGACATGGAAAAGTATCACCAATGAATGGAGTAGAATAACCGAATTGTATGGTGGTCAATTCTTATTGCCAACTCTCTTGGAAGTAAAGAAATATTTTGTTATTACCACAACATTTGTTTTATGATATACTATTGATGATGATATACCAGGTAATCTTGGGTACTATTAGAAGTACGAGGGTGATTCTTAAAGTATCTGAAAAGTGGAATGGTCTTAATGACATGGAGGCGTGACTGCAGTACCCTAGGGACAACTGCCCAAGGCCTTTCACACAGGGCCTTCAAGTAGCTTTAGATGAATTGGCTTCGTATTTTTTAAGGCCTTACCACCGGCGACGAAAATCCTTGGGGGGAAAAGTGAGGTGTGCTATTTTTAGGGTTGATCTTTTCTAACTCCGTCCTGATATGGGAAGACAACATCGCTACAGAAGCTAGTTTTCTGAGGGGAACACCTGATTTCCCTCATACCTCTACATAGCCAGGGGTTATATTTCATCCTCGAACCATGAGTTTGCTACTTTCCGTTTCACTGCTCTCCATCCAAGCTTCTTAATATGGTGGTACATGAAAGAATGAGCGCCCCATCCAATATAACTCAATTAGATCATTACAATTCGTAACTCTACCAATCAAGTCACAGTAACAACTTCGGCCAAAACATATTCTCAATGCTTATTCTTTCTCATTGTCATCGCTACTATATTATTTCAATCTCTTTTACTATTCATTTTATCTTGCTAACATGCATGGCAACTTGAACCAATGTACATCTGTGCCAGGCTGTACGTTAATAATGACTAATGGACTAACTAATTATATACTTATTTTTTACCCTGTACTTTACTATTAGATTAGAAATAATTAAATTTTTGCAATAAGATTGACCATAATTAATTGTTGTTTATTTTATACAGAATGTTTTATCAGGATTCTCAACAAAATCTCATATATCAGTGATCAAAGTGAGTTTCTTCACTTGAATTTCGTTTGATAAAATGATTATTATTTTCTGTTCAAACACTTTTCATATGGATTGTTTTCTATCAGATATTCATCTCAATTTCACTTATTACGAAGTTTTTTATTTTTATTTTCATTTCTTAATAAATAATTATTTCAGTTTTCAATAGGAAATTTAGCAAAATATATGAGAGAGTGTTTCACTAGAAAAATTTCATTATGAAAAATAGACGAGTGCAAAGCTCTAGGAATACTTACTTATTCAGGAAAAAAAAGATGGCGAGACTTTTAAACTAAAATAGCATTGTAAATTTGGATTGATAAAGTTTGTATCCCTACACTCTACACTCTTTTGACATTATGAAATACTACCTGCGGATACTGTTCAAATGAATTCACTGTCTTTCTGTCTCACAGTCATACACACGTTTATTCCATTCATTCGTCAATTGAACGTGCATAGATATGAATGGTAATTATAATTACTTCTCACTAGTGAACCAAATGATTTGTGAGTATTACAAAACAAAACATTACTTTTGTAAAACGTTTTTTCCATGCAAATCTGTACGTATGGGAAATTTCGATCATAGACAATGACCAATTGAATTCCCGTTATCCCACAATGTCTTTTGTTCATTCTTTACAAAATATGATATGATCTTCATTGTAGTTTTGTATTAACTGTTTATTTATTTATTTTTCCAGGAATTTTTCGATGCGAATCCGGTTTGTTGCACGCGTACTTTAGATCAAATTTATGAAACTTTGTCTATAAACCAAACTGTTCTTGAACGTGACAGTCCATTAATAGCTAAAGCATTGAATACTTTGTGCAGTACTTTTAATTAAATGTACTACATATTTTCCAAGGTATAAATCGTATGTGGAGAAAACTTATAATTCTCTGTTTACACTTTGAAAAAAACATGTTTCTAAAAATAAACGTATCTGTATCCGCATTTTCGTTACATACTTTTCAGCGTATTGTTAATTACATGTTAAGTGTTATTCAGTTTAAATTCACAGTATAGTGACGTTGTTAAAATAAGGCATAGTAATGTAAACCAATCCATCAAAGATTATACAGTTGTGAGGATAGTTTTACCACCGACTAGTATCGACTGGCGAACCAAAGAAAATCTGAAAACAATGGGGAACTTCATTGTTTTAGTTTAGAACTCAACAGCAGTACTCAATCACACTTCCACGTTGAATCAAACTGACGTCTTTCGCATTTTATCTATCACTCTATCATTTTCTGTTTGTTATTAAATACACTTGTCTAGGCATTCTCTAAATACTCCATACCATATACTTAAATATGTGATAGAACATAGTCATTTTCCTAAGATTATCAAGAAATTAACGTTTACAACAAATAAGAGAATGAAACATTTCAGAAGTGATACTTATTTGTTTATAACCTCCAGCAGACAAGCGAAGATTCAAACAATACTCTGATTATAACAGTAGAGTTCTGTTTAGAGAAAAACAAAGAAATGAAGAATGACCGTTTATTATTATTAATTTCAAAATGCTTAAACGAAACGTAAAAGATAGATTTGATTTGTTTATTGTCAAGGGAACAGAAATACGTTATTGATTACTATTACATTCATATTAGCTTTCTTTAGAGTTCAAGCTTTCTTATAATAAACCATAATTCTTTTGTTATCTTTGCTACCGTTCAGATTTGTGTCAATCGTAATCACTTAAATATAAAGTTTGTTGTCCTTCCATAATTAAATTCCAACTTTACTCATTCTCGGAAATGGTATATTTTCCTGTTTCACTCTAATTTCTAGTCTTTAATTTAGTTCCGTGTTTTTAAAGCTTAGATGTAGCTTATACGGTGATCACATTCTTCATTATCGTTTTTATTTGAGAGCTAACCATCTATTACACCTCATACTTTAAAATGTAATCGGGAACATTCTTGTTTTCCCATAATATGGTTATAACACAGTGGCTAAACAATCTTATTTCAAACGGGTTACTTTGTAGAAACGTGTTAATATTGTTACAAATGAACTGTACCAATAAAAAATAACAAATATACTTAATTGAATACAATTAACTACTAATAGTAGTAAAATGTTGGATGTAGAAAGCTTAACGTTTTTTGTGTTTATAATAATGACGATGGGCATGAAGTAATTTGATTTTGTGAATTATTGAGAATTAAACTCATTTTAAATCAATAGTTTTTGGCAATCCAAAGTTGTGTCAAATATTCAGTTCATATTAGATTAATTTCTGTAACACAGGTTGGAACCTAAGAACAGATAGCATAACAATATGATGTCAATCTGTTGTCAGTTATGATTAGATTTTCACGCTTAAATGCACATAAGCCGCAGTAGGAACCTTATTCTTTTTATTCTTTAAGTGATGTTACCTGGAGATTCATTCGAAACCAGTGGACACTAAACAGCTGTTCTATACATTGACATGACCACACGTTTTCTAGTCTAGTACCCATAGATACACTGTCATCCTACTACGAACTTTAGTTTATCAGACTGTTTTACAACAAATAAGAATTAGAGGTTCACAATTCGGTGTCATCAGCGAACATTCACTATATGTAATAAAACAATCACTATGACTTGCCTCCTCAATCTGATCCACCAGTTTACAATTTTTCTATTAAAATTTCATATGAAATACATTTAAATTCTATTATAACAAAGGAATGACAGACTTTTTTTGCTAGCAAATGAATGATAGCTTTGTAACGTTTGTTTAGCACACTTAATTTGATGAGATCCTTTAAATGAAAAACATCGTCACCCATAAATCAGAAATCCAACAGTTATCAGTGTTGGGATTATATTTCTTTTAAAGATGTGATTTATTGTTTTTGCATCATGTAACTGAGGCACAGATAAATGCACATATGTAACATATTACTTTTTCTCTACTCTGGATTTACTTGTGTTTTACGTTCATTTGCGTAATTGTGACGAAATTTGTGATAATCACTTGTGTAAACCTCAGACTGAATTATACGTTCATAAAATAAAACTTCCTCTACGAATCAATTATAATAAATTAATTCTGAACTTAATTACGCCTGTTACTCCCAATGGAGCATAGGCCGCTGACCAGCATTCTCCAACCCACTCTGTCCTGGGCCTTCTTTTCTAATTCCATCCTATTCTTGTTCATTTTTCTCATGTCTATTTCCATTTCTCGGCGTAATGTGTTCTTTGATCTTCCTCTTTTCCTTTGGCCTTGAGGATTCCATGTGAAGGCTTGTCTTGTGACGCAGTTCGGTGCTTTCCTCAATGTGTGTCCTATCCACTTCCAGCGCTTCCTGATTTCTTCCTCCGCTGGGATCTGTTTTGTTCTCTCCCACAGTACGTTGTTGCTAATAGTGTCCGGCCAATGGATCTGAAGTATTTTGCGTAAACAACTGTTAATAAACACCTGTATCTTCTGGATGATGGGTTTCGTAGTTCTCCAGGTTTCTGCCCCATACAGTAGAACTGTCTTGACATTTGCAATGAAAATCCTGACCTTGGTGTTGGTTGACAGTTGCTTTGAGTTCCAGATGTTCCTCAGTTGTAAATATGCTGCTCTTGCCTTGCTGATCCGCGCCTTCACATCTGCATCGGATCCACCCTATTCATCAATGATGCTGCCAAAATACGTAAAGGTTTTTACATCTTTCAAATCTTCTCCGTCAATTGTGATTGGATTGGTGCATGCAGTGTTGTATCGGAGAATCCTGCTTTTCCCTTTGTGTATATTGAGACCTACTGCTGCTGAGGCTGCTGCCACACTGTTCGTCTTCTCCTGCATTTGTTGTTGCGTTTGCGATAGAAGAGCCAGATCATCTGCGAAGTCTAGATCGTCCAACTGCATCTTAGATGTCCATTGTATCCCGTGCTTCCCTTCAGACGTTGACGTCTTCATGATCCAGTCGATCACCAGGAGAAAGAGAAAGGGTGAGAGTAAGCAACCTTGCCTAACACCGGTCTTCACTTCGAACGACTTTGTCAACTGTCCTCCATGCACGATTTTGCAGTGTAATCCATCATACGAACTCTGTATGATATTGACTATCTTCTAAGGTACGCCGTAGTATCGAAGAAGCTTCCATAATGTTGTTTTGTCCACGCTGTCAAATGCTTTTTCATAGTCAATGAAGTTGATGTAGAGTGATGAATTCCATTCAATTGATTGTTCCACAATGATCCGTAGAGTTGCGATTTGGTCTGTACACGATCTATCCTTACGGAATCCTGCCTGTTGGTCACGAAGTTGGGCATCTACGCAGTCCTTCATCCTGTTTAACAATACCCTGTTGAAGACTTTTCCCGGTATTGACAGAAGAGTGATGCCTCTGTAGTTATCACACTTGCTGAGATCACCTTTCTTTGGTATTTTGGTCAGAAGTCCTTCTTTCCAGTCTTTTGGAACTTGTTCTTCATCCCAAATTTTATTGAAGAGAATGTGGAGCATCCTTGCAGTTGCCGCTACGTCTGCTTTCAGTGCCTCTGCTGGGATGTTGTGTGGTCCTGCTGCTTTGCCACTCTTGATTTGTCTGATGGCCATGCTGATTTCTTCAATTGTTGGTGGGCCAACATTGATTGGGAGGTCCGTGGGTGCTGCTTCGATGTTGGGTGGGTTCAGTGGAGCTGGTCGATTCAAGAGTTCTTTGAAGCATTCTGCCCACCTGTTTTGTTGCTCTTCAATATTGGTGATTACCTCGCCCACGTCGTGCATTATTTGCCGACTCTGGGACTGGTTGGAAGAAGCGGAGAGGTGGTCAGTGCATGACATGGTGTCGTGGCATGAAAGAAAGCTGCAAAGGACTGGCTTGTGTTGGTCCTTCACGACTCCCTGGATGGGGTCCGAGAGATGGTGCTACACAGTGGCTAGAGACGTTATCAGATATGGCTCAGAATAGAAGCCAGTGGCGATCCTGCTGTAACCTTCTTTTACTTTCTTCATAAAAAGTGGTTGTGTCTCCTTTACCTGAAAGATTTCTTCTGATTGTACCTCTTCGTCATTACTCTCTCTTTCTTTTGCGTTCCTTAGTTTTTTTTTCTTTCTACTTCTCTTCGAATTCCCATTGTTTTGTGTGGCGCATATATATTGGCGCTCTCTTGTACCAATATTTATCTGTTCAAATAAATAAATAAATAACCTCCCCTTCCTTGCTTTTCACTGGTCGCTCTGGTTTGCGGCGACTTCCAGAGAGTTTCTTTGTCGTGTCATACAATTGTCTCATATTTCCTTCTCTTGCAGCCTTTTCCGCCGTCGTTGCTAAATGTTCCACATATTTACGTTTGTCGGTTCTGATGCTCCTCTTCACTTGTTTGTTTACCTCTAAGTATTCAGCTTGTACCTTGGCTTTTTTTGCTCTTGTTCGGCTGGTATTGATTGCTGCCTTCTTGTTCCTCCTTTCTTGAATCTTATCCAGTGTATCAACAGTGATCCATTCCTTGTGATGTTGCTTCTTGTGACCCAGGACCTCATGACATGTTGAAGTGATTGCCTCTTTGGTCCCCTTCCAGTTGTTCTCCACAGTAGTTCCTTCTCCATTGAGTAGATCATGAAAGGCCTGGAACTTGTTGCTGAGGACTATCTTGAATTTGTTGAGTTTGTTAGTATCCTGGAGAAAGGCCGTATTGAACTTTTGTGAAATTGTCCGCCCTATTGTCCAGTGCTTCTTGAGTTTCAATTTCATCTTGGCGACCAGCAAGTGATGATCTGATGCTATATCAGCTCCTCTCTTGGTTCTCACGTCCTCTATAGTCCTCCTGAACGTTTTGTTGATGCAAATATGGTCGATTTGGTTTTGTGTGGTGTGGTCCGGTGAAGTCCATGTGATTTTGTGAATGCGTTTATGTGGGAATACAGTTCCGCCTATGACCAGTTTATTGAAGGCACATCGATTTGCGAATCTCTCACCATTTTCGTTCCTTTCTCTCAGTCCGTGTCGTC